AACAACAGATAAAATGTATTGTTGGTTATTTTGCTATGAAGTGTATTGTTGGTCATTTTGATTTAAATAGTTATTGCTGGTAATATTGAAAGTATAAAAAAACATTTTCATTTTCATAGTAAAAACTATGAAAATGTTTTTTTATACTTTCATAGTGATTTATTTTTATTTCTGTTTGGCCTATAGCTAGGGCCCTAACAGTTGCTACCACACCGGGTGGACCTGGCAACAGCAGCAGTTAAGAGGTGGTCCACGCTCCTGAAAACCACCAATCTTTCTGCCGCATGTAATTTAATTTCATACACATGAGTCTAAAAGGAAAAAACTGTACAAGTGTTCCTAGAAAAATATTGGTCGTTTTTATATCTCAGTCTATAGGTAGACATTGGTGGGGTATATACATGAGTCTATAGGTAAGCATTGGTCGCCAATATTGACCCATTTTGCTGGATGGGTTTTATCCTTCTGCTGGAGATGCATTTATCGTATTCTAGGCCCCGCCAGCTGGGCATTTAACCGTATATTTGATAATGTATCATTTAAATATAAACATATAATAACTAATCTTTAAGACATTGAGGATTTTTAGCTTAGATTTACAATGCCAAATGGGACGCTGATGTCAGAGTGAACAGACGTGTTTTTCATTGCTCAAAGAAAGTGATGTATTTTAACAGGGAACTCTTGATTATTTTAATTATCTCTTTATTATTATATTTTTCTTAATTATTATATTATAGTTTGTAATATATTATTATGCATTTATAATTTTTAATAAATAAATATTTGCTTAATTTTTTAGAAAAGTCGAAGTATACATAGATTGTTTTTATTTTATTTCTAAAGTCCAGTAGAAACTTTATTAAGAATGTCTATTGTCATTAAGAATTGTTGCATGAAGAACATTTAATGTATTGTATTTGTTAGATTACTTATACGTTAGCGTGAATAATTCTACTCTATTTATAATATTGGAGCGTAACATTTCTCTTTTTATGAAAGACGACGTAATTTTCGAAATTATGCGAAAAGCATTTCAAATTGTAATGTAGGTTTTGTTTATCTTTGGCTATTGATTCAGTATCGTTGATTTCTTTCCTTATCATGTATTCAAACATTTTTAACAACATTTGCCGATAATTTTATTCGTTTATACTTTTCTTATTCATTGATTGTAGTATCGTAACATTTTCATGGAGGTGGATGTTTTTTAAATTTTAAGAAAAGGTATTCGAGTTCTTACGTTATTTTGTTTATTTTCTCTTTACTATTTCTTCAGATCAGAATAGACAATTTATTCCACTGTTATTTATCTTTCAAATATTTTTAACAACAACAATAATAAAAGAAATGTTTAAAATATTATTATTTTCTTATTTATTGTTTGGTTTCTAAAATAATAATAATAATAATAATAATGTGGTACTGTTTACTGTGACATCCAGTGTATAATATATATGTATGTATATGTGTGTATATTGTGTTGAGTCTGAGGCCATGTGGCAAGATGAATAACGTCGTGATCATTAGTGATCCCTTCAAACACCATGATGTTGACTGGATATATCATCCAACTCTCCGAATCCCCTGCACTATCCTCTGATTGACACCAAAACACCCTGAAATGTTCGTATTAAATCTTTCGGTGCGAATGCCAAGCAATAAAGTATACCGTTTCCAAAATGTCTGGCTTCGTGAATTGCGGCATAGTGCTATTTTCTCTCATATAGTGCCCAGCTGACCCGACGATACCGTGCAGTCGACAAAATCAAAAACAAACAACGCGCATGCACGAAATATAAAATGACGACAATTTATCCATCGCACGCTGTGTATTCCTTAGAACTAGGTTAAATGTAGCCTTGGGTGTCAATTAATCTAGGAAAAAGAAAATTCCAAACCGTAGAGAAGGTATCGGAAAGAAACGGAATGCCTGGAATCGTGATCCTCTATGTCTTGAAGGCAAACGGCATTTTAATAATTATATATATATATATAAAATATATATATATATATATATATATATATATAAATATATATATATATATATATATATATATATATATATATATATATATAAAGAAAGAACAGTAAGATATATAATCCGGTGTTCTTCTAGATATTTTTATTTTTACAAAATAGTGCTCAATGTAAATTTACAGAGCATTAATATTATAAATTAATTGATTTAAAATGTTTTTTCCGCTACACAGTTCTACAGTTCTAACCATGTTCAAAAAAATTTTAGAACTGTGTAGCGGAAAAACCATATTTGAAATCAATTAATTTATAATAAAAAAAAATATATATATATATATATATATATATATATATATATATATATATATATATTAATGTATTGGGGCAACAGATCATTATTCAAACATACTGATCATGACCCGTTCGAAACTTCCTATGGTTGTCTTAATTTCGGGCGAAAATAAAGTCAAAAGTTGTCCAACATTTGGAAATTTTTTATTATGCTTAGATCAAGGAACAGCATGATAAAAAATGCCCAAATGTAGGACAATTTTTGTCTTTACTTCCGCCTGAAATTAAGGCAACTATACGAAGTTTAGAACGGCTGATGATCAAACATAATAGACATTCGTTGCGTTATATTTAACAATATATGTTAGCATATATATATGTGTGTACGTGTGTGCGTGCGTGCTTGTGTGTGAGCTCATATATTTTACACTGCATATATTTGAATATACACGAAAACTTAAGAAATATACGAGTGATGCTGAGAATCTCTCACCTCCAACCCACTTCCAAAAATCTGACCAAATAGATTTTTTTCATCCTTTCTTGGGCCAAAAGCTTTTTTATGTCAAATTTTACTTAAGTATGTAAATATTCATAGACCCTGTTAATAATTACTTGACTAAGGTTTCATCTCTTCCGAATGTTATGTAAATCTGGCGTTCTATCATGATCTCCTATCTTCATTGAAACGCCGTTTCTCAGCGTTGGAGGAAAACACGTGCCTCTTGAGCCGATTCGACGCAAACGTCAATCTTTGTAATCTCTTAGCGAAGTATTTTACTACCAAAACATCTCATTTTAAAAAGGAATAATATTCGCAAAAAGTAGAACAAAGAAATGATAATTCCTGTTTACGAAACTGACAAAAGACGTTGATTATGGTGACCTTTAAAGTGCTGTTACGTTAAGAATGGAATATTTTGCTAAAAATTATTTTCCGATCACATAATTAGTATGACTTTCGCTATTTTGAATATGTTTTGGAAATGTTAATGAACCTGTTGACTTGCTATAGTTTTCACCTTCCTTTTTTTTCCTATTATTATTTTTTGTTGTTGTTTTGCTTTTGAGGATCGACTTGTATGTTCATGTTTTTTTTCCTGTTTTTGTATCTTTCCAGGATGAACACGAGATGAAAATGAGAATTAGAGGATATATGTCGAACACATGGAACGACCGACGACTGATGTGGAATCCGAAGGAATACGGCGACATGGCGAAGATTCTGGTTCCTATTGACAAATTATGGAGACCAGATATTGTTCTCTACAACTTGTAAGTGTTCATTATCTCTCTCTCTCTCTCTCTCTCTCTCTCTCTCTCTCTCTCTCTCTCTTCTTTCCTTCTCGGATAGATAGATAGATAGATAGATAGATAGATAGATAGATAGATAATGAAAATTCAAGATAAATTCTTTACATTGACCTTTAAATACACACTAAAATGGCTTCTTTTCACGTACTTAAAAAAAATGAAAGTCTAAAGGCTGAAGAGTTTGACAGAAGACTTCGCCAATTGTAAACAGACCCTCTTTGCTTCTGTTCCCTTCACCTTGTTCAATATAATTATAATATAATATATATAATTTCATGTAACTTACTACGGATACTGACTGATGATTATCAACCAATCAGATTATAACGCATTGCACAGAACGTGCGATTCAATCTGGGTTGACTTTAATTTATTCTCTTCTCCGGAGTTTCTCTTCATAGGACTTGAAGTTTTTTTAATATATCGTTATCGTGTTTACTTAATAATATAATTTAGACTACACATTTCTCCCTATAAATGATAGCTCTGCATGAACTTATATTTTTGGATATTTAGATATCCTAAGCCTGTGGCTATTGGAGGAGACCATCCCTCTTCAAACATTGTGGACTGGCGCTACAGACTCACAAACAAAGAACTGTGCCAAATAACAGAAACCACATCATTTGAGGACTACCAACAGCGGCAACGACTAAAATGCATAACGCATGTATCTCGAAGACATAATCATGATGTTGATATTCCAATCTACTTTAAAGAAAAAGTTAGGAAGGAAACCCCCATCAATACTGGAAAACAGATACTGGACTTGAGAAACATATTTTCATGAAAAATTTTGTTAAAAGATAGATTTTCTAAATTTTAAGTGACAGCAACACTGGTCAATGAATGTGGAAACAACTAATATTACTATTACTATCAGCTTTCTCGATTTTCTAAACATTAAAAAGAAATGCAAACGTGTATGTTTATTACTATTCTTCTTCTCAGTCTGTAAAGGTACTTTTGGGGTGTAGGTCTCCCCCGCCCCCAGATCTCGCCATCTTTGCTATTTGTGGGGAGGAATGAATCATTGCCCTACCTTGCTGGTCTGATGCGTGTTGATAGTTGGGATGTGACACATTAGGGCGATCGTATCTCTTTTCGATTCATTATTGACTTATAAGGATTCCCGCAGTAGTCTGACGCTCGTTTCTGCAGTAGACTGGTTGCCAACCAAGGCTATAGGACCCAGTCTGTTCAACTATTTAACCTGTAGCTGGGAGAAATGAGATGTATTAATACCTTTCTTAATAGTATTTGTGCTTATATGAATGTAATGAATGACTGGAATTCGAATTTGGCTCTCCGATTTCTCATCCCGAGCCGTTATTTATCACACCACCCGTACCTCCAAGCTTACAGCAACTGGTATTTCCAAGGGGTCACCCATTTAGATCCCTGGCTCGACGTTGCTTAACATCGATGATCGTACGAGAACCGGTGTTTCAACGTGATATGGCCATAAGCCTCAGATCCTGTCGGTGTCAAATCGTGAATTTCAATATTCTAGAAGTTAAGTATTTAGACCTTGATACAGAAGTGAATAAAATATGGAAGAAATTGGAGAAAGTAGTATCAATTGTAGTTGGAGTACTGGGAACAATCATAAAAAAAGCCCAAAGAGAAGTTTGGAGGACCTGGAAATCAGAAGAAGAAATGTTACTCTCCATAAAACGGTATTGCTGAAAACAACTCAAAGAGAAGAATGTTGTAGAAGTGGGAAAAATTTATTTAACTTGATTGCTTATGGAAGCCATCACTGACGACTGAGATGAAAATTCAATGAATTGAAATAAAAATAATAAGAAAGTGTAGGAGCATTGAGAAGACTTATTGTTACGTGTTCTGCGGCCAAAACTATCAATTAATACTAGTATAAAAACTTAAGGAATACAAAATAAAAATAATAATAAGCTTGCTCAAGAATTCACAAAAGTTGGAACATGAAAGTCAGGACCATAATCAAACATGTTCGCGGAAAATCCGTTAAAGATCCTTAGAGAAAAACTGGAAAGATCTGTGTTCTTTTTCTTGTCCTTTTTTTTTAACTAGAATTCACGTAATACATGGCTCAAGAGCCACTTGTGGTAGAGAATAACTTTATGAGGAGTATGATGTGAAAGTAAGAATAGTTAGAAGGAAATTAGGATTGTAAGGATAAGGTCTAAAAAAGAAATTAAATCAATTCAAATCATAACAGAAGACTGAAAAGGAGATAAACTGGAAAACTGAAAAGAACTGGTGTCACTTGATCTCCAACGAAGGCCACCAGGTTGCTCTGTTATAAAGAATAGCATCGATAACAAGAAGAAGAAGAATGTTGGAAGAAAAAAGAAAAAGGAACGCATTCAATACAAAGAAAATGAACCAAGTAAAAAACATATTGGACAAAAAGAAAGAAAAAATGACGAATGACAAAAGAGAAAAATGAAATAAAAATAAAGATTAATTAAAAAGCAAATATATAAAAATTAAATCTCCCCAGCAATGATAATGATATCCTATTTTTATGATTTATTTTGTTTATCCATCAAGATTCGGCCATTACAAAAAAAAAAAAAAACGCTTTTCACTCAAATTATTTCATCTCTACATTTCCTCGTGAATGACGCCGAATTTCGAACGTATGTCGCATTAATAATTCGCCCATTAGCGACAGAGCAAATCCAGTGCCCTCGTCAACGGTGAAGAAGCCAAACAACGGTGTTCATCAATGTGTAATCTGTCAAATTCTTTTTTTTTTTCCATAGCTACGCTTAATGTTAGGCGACCTAAAATCGACTCTGGCCTATGAAAATTATGTGTTTTTGAATGAAAACTGAGCTGTTAATTCGATCCGCGATGCGATCGAAGTTCATTACAAGCACGAAAGGTTGTTTGATATGATGTTTGAAAATTTTACAAAGATATATATGCATTAGTAAAAAAAATAAAAAATTGCTTGATTAAAAATTGCATGCATTCATTTTCCTAAGATATGTTTTAAATAATACAAAATTTAACTGAACTTTTCTCAAAGATATTCGCTCTATTAAGCTTAGACCAGCACAGTAGTTACCAAACGGTGCAGCGAGCAAATTTTCAATCCGTAAATGCGGCCTAGAGAAAATAAATGTTTAGGAACCACTGGCTAGTATATGGCGACAACAATAAGAAATTTAGTGAGAATAAAATTCAATATATATATATATATATATATATATATATATATATATATATATATATATATAGTCGACTCTCCCGTCGAATTCGACGTATGAGGGTCAAGCAGATCAGTTTCCAGGAAACCGACAGCCCGACAACGACACATGAGGTTTGATTATAGTGGTGAAGGCTTCGTGCAGAACCATCCACACTTTTTGAAGGGACGAATATAGAGACCTGGTGCACCGAGTGCCACAAGGTCCTCAAACGACCCTCCGCAGGTTTTGAATTCAGAGTTGTCCTTCTCCTAGACCAGTTGCCATCCAAGGCTATAGAACCCAGTCTGTCCTGCTATTTTACCCATAGCTGGAGGAAGAGGAAGAGGATTCATACCTTCCCCAAGGGTATTAGCACGTAAGTGAATGTAATGGATTCAACTGGACTCTGCGATTCCTCAATCCAAGCCGCTATCCATTACTCCACCGTGCCTCCTATAAATATAAACTATATATAAACTGTACAGAACGAATGATACGTTTATTTTTCAAATTTTTTTATACGTTTTTTATTTGTATAATTTCTATATAAAAAAGAATTTGCGCATTAAACGTAACGTTATTTTATCGTTATCTTATTTTATGTAAATATTGCTAGCCTTCATTTTCATTTCCTCTTTCATCATGAATATTTACATATTCTATTTTTTTCTAAATTTTAAGAATTCATACACAAAAATCGTTTAATACGTAACTCCTGCTGGTTAAGGTTTAGAAGAACAAATAAGTTTAATTTAAAATTTTAAATACAGTTCGATTTTGGCTAATTACAGGATACTTTCAGTTATTTATCTATTCGAAAATAATTATGATACAAATTTTCTACATAGAAAGACTTAGAAACTTAAGTGACATATTCATCGGCTTTTAAAACTGTGTTAATTGTTAAAATTTATTTTTATTACATGTATTCATACATCAACTTATTCAATAATTGAATAAATCGAAATAATGCTTTTATTGTTCTTTTTAATCAAGCGTTTCTAATATACAAGACAACTACTTGGTCTTTTGTAAAGATTTTGTGTTACATACTGGATTCGAAAATCAACGTAACAGAAAGACGTTACGCAAATTTACTTCAAATAAACATTGCCAATTCGGTACTTAAAAAAATGTCAACCTTGACTTACCGAATTCGTACATTTTATGAAACAACAGTTCCTTGTTTTAGCTTCTGGCGATATATATATATATACATATATATATATATATATATATATATATATATATATATATATATATATATATATATATATATATATGTGGGAAATATATAGAAAATAGGAAGGAACTGGTTAGGTAAATAATCAAAGTCCCTTAGTATTTTAGTTATTATTTTAAAAAATAGTGCTCGATACAAAAGTAGAGCATAAATATAATTATTTATTTAAAAATATGATTCCAAATTGCTACATAAGAGGTCTCATGTTTCAAAACAAGAGCCGAAAACTTCAATATAATCCTTTAAATTAAATTGAGTTGAAAGTAAAATGGGTTTGTTCCATCTTCAAGCGAAATTTTTGTTGGAATCCAACAAAAATTTCGCTTGAAGATGGAACGGATAGCACACCTTAAAACTATATTTCTTCATATATATATATATATATATATATATATATATATATTCACCAGCAAACTTGTCCTAATCGTCTAACAGCAAAATTATCCAATTGTTGGATTAAGATTTGAACCGCTGTATCGTAGAAGTGATTAAAGATATCTTACTGGAATTCTCCAAGGTTTTTATAACACTATTGGTCTCTACTTTGAGCAATAAAGAAAAGTTAAGAACACAGTGGTTCTGACGCAAAACGATATTGATTTGTTCTCTTTCTGTCTGAATGTTTTTTTTTCAGTGATTCTTACGACAAATGGCGTTAAGATGGCTAAAGGTGAAGAAGTTATGGATCATGAAAATGGAAATAATTTCTGTAGTAATCAACATGAACACTGAAATAGTGCCTCGGGAGAATTGGAATCGAAGCCAAGTTTGGAAACCTCCAGAAACCTGTAGTCATTTAATCAGCGAAGATTTTCCGAAAGGTTCTTGAGTTGTGGGGAGTCTTGTTAACACCATGCTTCAAGAACAATTTTTCCATTGACTACGTTAAAGTGCATTATTGGAGTTACTGGAGTTATAAATATTATTTAGATATATACATCTTTCAGAGTAAAGTTCTGTTAAAAGCAGAAATAATTTTATCATACACTAGTACATAATTTGTTTGATTCCTCTATTATTCACTGACTCAGTTAACCTGAATATAGAGTATATATCCGCTGTATACATAGTGTACTGATAAATCATCAGTTACCTCCCCTTAAGATCTAGGAGGTACAAAAAGCACCCTGTAGATCCGTCAGTAGTCGAGTAGTAAGAGTAAAATGCAATAAAACTTTGGTATAAATTTATTCACTGGTTCTGTTTTTTACTACACATAGACTGATATCTTTCCATTCTATATCGTTCTTCAAATGCAAATATAGATATTTAACAGGTGATCGTAAAAACAAGTTTAAGAAAATATTTTATTTAAAGGGCATTTGTTATTTGACTAAGTAGCAGCATGATGAAAAGGTTAATTTACAGATCTTTGAACAAGTCTTTCAACAATATTTCGCCATGATTACAGCCATTATCAAAAAGAGGTGAGTGAAATGCTTGAAGCACTACTTGGCGTCAAAGAGTCTATTGAAACACTATTGTTCAGACACCTAACATTTGCAATTTGCTAATACGAACATGAGTCTACATTTATTGGTTTCCTTTTGCCGAGAGCAAAAGTGGATGGAGAACTTTGATGTGTGGACGGACAATTCGGTAAATGAGAATTGCTAATGTGAATAAAGACGGCCATTCGTTTGCTGTTATTGTTTCTTGTGTGACGGTGATCAGATTAAATAGCAATGCACACAAGTACTACAGCTAAATGTCATGTCTCGTTGGTGAACTCGAATTCTATGAAGAGACAGGATAGATAGATAGATAGATAGATAGATAGATAGATAGATAGATAGATATGAACAAGCTAAGTATATATATATATATATATATATATATATATATATATATATATATATATATATATATATATATATATATATACAAAGAAATAATCACACATAGAATCAATCAGAAGTATTCATGCGATTATTGGCGCCATCCATCGCTAGAAACATAATATATGCATTAAAATACTGTTAATCCA